CCAGAGCTGAAGGGAGCCGGCCTGCTGTGGCCAGGGGCTGCCTGGAAGTTGCCCACACTTCTGAGAGAGGGCGGCCTCCCCACTGTCGGCTCTGCAGGGTGCAGCCTCCCAGCTGGCCCCTGGGGGCCACACTCTGCCCTGGCTCTCGGGTACATTCACTCTTTCTAAACAATTTGGGGGCGGGGGCTGTTGCAGCATGAGCGGGCATGGTCCGGCACTGTGGTCAGCGCTACGGAAGAGGAATCCCCCCCTTCCGCACGATCCATGCACTTTTACAAAGCATCGCTCTACCTCCTTTGGTCCTTATCAAAACCTAGAACAATCCCTGGCAGACCGTGCGTTTTTATTTCGTGGGGTTTTCGGTTTGAAATTTTTTGTTTTTGTTTTTGCTTATTTGCCTTTTTTTAACATACATATTGAGATGAATGGATGCACACTAGATTAAAACTGTGCAGCTTGATGGGTTTAGACATACGTATACACCTGTGAAACCAACACCACAACCAAGATAAACATCACCATCACCCCTAAAAGAGTTTCCTTGCCCCTTTGGCCATCCCTCCTTTCCCCTCCCTGCCCCCAGCCCCAGGCAAATGCTGATCTGCTTTCTGACACTCTAGGTTAGCTAGCAGCTTCTAGAATTTTGTATAAATGGAATTATTCTATATGTACCCTTTTTTATCGGGCTTCTTTGACTCAGCACATTTTCCTATTACTGATGGAAAAAATGGAGCCTTGATGAGGAAACACAAGTAGTCAGCAATCATAGAACAGCAGAAGCATTGCAGGTGTCGTGGCTCTGAGCCTAATATGCTCTCTGCAACACTTCGTTCACTCATCACTCACTCATTCATTCACCAGAGAGTAATTGGGCGCCTGGGTGGGCTAAGCCCTGGAGCCAGGAGTTAGAATCATAATGGTGCACAAAGCAGGCACAGTCCCTACCCTCATGAGATTGCACTTCATTCATTCGTTCATTCATTCATTCATTCATTCACCTGCTTAACAAATATTCACTGCACATCCATAGAAAACTCTGTTTGAACTTGGCACTGCCCCACCACCTCCTACACCACCCTGATGCTCATTAACCATCCTCCTATCTGCCACTTTGAGCTGGACAGGGGGGTGATGCAGGCAGAGATCATTAGAGGTGAGTTCTGTCCTCCAGGACCATCTAGAGCAGAAGGAAAAGCTATAAGATACTATCCTGTACTGTGAAAGCTTACGAGATTGCTTAAGAGGTAAGGCTGATCCTGCAGAAGGTGGCATTCCAAACTGAGTGCAAATGTGAGTGATCCAGGCAGGGAGGCCAGGGGCTCAGGGGAGGTGGGGGGCTCTCCAAGCTGGACTGGCCAGAGCAGGCTCCTCAGACAGGACGGGACCTGAGTAGTCCCCTGATGAACAGGGAGAAGTAGAAGAGACAGAGAGAAGGGGAGGTGTATCAGGCAGGAGCAAAACAGTGACAAAGATGTAGTGGCAGGGCCGGGGAAGAGCTGATCAGGAGGACAGTGAGCTGAGAATTCCTCCTGGGGAAGTGGGAGGCCACAAAAACATGCATTCTGCCCACAAGTACGTTACATTGCCTTTCTGTGCGGAGCGGAGGGGAGGGGTAGCAGGGAGGGTAATCACTGACATTTCTGTAGTAATTTACAATTTACAAAGTGCTCTCACTGTTATTATCTTATTTACTCAGTATAATCTTTGAGGTAGGAATCACCATTATTTTTCCCATTTTACAGATCAGAAAATGGAGGCTCATAAAAACCCAACGATTTGCTCAAAAATAAACAGCTCCTAAGTGTTGGGGCAGAGCTTCAAACAAGGACTCTTGTCCCCAAGACCAGTCCTCCTTTCCCTATGTCTATAATTATCAACATTTAAATGGGGCCCATGGAGCATGCTTCTATAGACCACAGAACACGTTATTTGAACTTGTCATTGTCCCACCACTTCCCACACCACGTGACCCTTTTCTGCCACCTTCCTGTCTGCCACTATGAGCTGGGGATGGACGTGACAAAGAGGAGATCAGGAGGAGGGAGAAGGGAAATGGCCTGGCTTCCAGGAGAGGAAGTTGGTTATTTGGCCAAGGAAGCTCTCCCCAGTCCCCACATGCCTTCTGCTTCTGGATCCAGAGAAGCCTCCTAATAAGGGCCCACTCTAGTCTCAGAAGTGGTTCCCAAGCCCTTGCCCCAGAGGTCCTGGATGGCACCCCTTTTTCTCAGCCTGGAGAAAATGGGATGCAGTTCACCCCAAGAAGGAGATAAGCAGGAGCACACCCAGGGCCAGGACCTCAAAGGGGAAAATACAGCTCTGATGTCACAAGATGGGTACAGAGCGGGAGTCCAGGTCCCATATCTATGTGGCAGCCAAGTGCCCCAGGACAAGCCCCCTAATTCATCACATGGGTCACTGTGAAGGAAGAGCTAACGTTTCTCCAGGGCTTATCGTTTGCCGAGCCAGGACTCCAACTCACATCTACTGGTTCCCATCTCAGAGGTCCTAACCACTTCTCCATCCTGCCTTCAACTAGCCTACTGCTCACCAGGGGCCAGCACCTGTCACTGAGGGCCAGCATCTGACATGGCCCATGGGGGGCACATCCTCCCCCGCTCCACAGCCAAGGAAGTGGCAGCTTAGTGCAATCAGGTGGCTTGCAAAGACCACACACTCCTAAGAGGTAGGGCAAGGGCTCAACCAGCCCCGACCACCCAGACCTGAACTCCGCTCCTGAACTGAGGAAAGAGCACATGGGACTGACCAAGCACCCCCACTTCCGTGGCTCGGCCCACAGCTCCCCACAAGGCCTCAGCTTCCACTCAGGGGTCCCACGGTCTAGCAGGAAAGGCCCTGGTCCGGGAAGCAGGCTCAGCTCAACCTCTGTACCACTAGTGGGACCTTGGGAAGGCCACTTGGCCCCTGTGACTTGGCTTCCCTCTCTGTAAAACGGAAATAACATTTTCCAACCTCACAGGATGATTATCATTCAATGAGACACACAAATGTGGAATCACTTCAAAAAGACTACAACACCGTACACCGCAAGGTATCCTTATATGTGAGACTCCAAGGTCATGATCACCAGATTTTACCTCTGTCCCACCCACACCCCCAGCCTTCCTGGCCTCAGTGTTCTTAGGTTGAAACTGAAGCTTGGGGCGCCTGGGTGGCTCAGTTGGTTAAGCGACTGCCTTAGGCTCAGGTCATGATCCTGGAGTCCCCGGATCGAGTCCCGCGTTGGGCTCCCTGCTCAGCGGGGAGTCTGCTTCTCCCTCTCCCGCTCCCCCCTCTTATGCTCGCTCGCTCTCTCATCCTCTCTCTCAAATAAATTTAAAAAAATCTTAAAAAAAAATTATAAAAAAAAAAAAAAGAAAAAAGAAACTGAAGCTTGAGTGGCCCTGGGGAAGGAAAATCAATCTGTGTTTGTGGATATCCAAGTCCACTGGGTGCACTCTCCTTAACCCCGCCCCTAATTCACACACACTTTACCTACTTCTTACCTGCCTAAAATGACTTTTAAAAATGGAATCATTCTTGGGGCACCTGAGTGGCTCATTTGGTTAAGTGTCTGACTCTTTTTTTTTTTTTAAAGATTTTATTTATTTATTTGAGAGAGAGAGAATGAGAGAGAGCATGAGAAGGAGGAGGGTCAGAGGGAGAAGCAGACTCCCTGCCGAGCAGGGAGCCCGATGTGGGACTCGATCCTGGGACTCCAGGATCATGACCTGAGCTGAAGGCAGTCGCTTAACCAACTGAGCCACCCAGGCACCCCAAGTGTCTGACTCTTGATTTTGGCTCAGGTCATGATCTCGGGGTCATGGGATTGAGCCCCACATTGGGCTCCACCCTTAGCAGGGAGTCTGCTTGAGATTCTCTCTCTCCCTCTGCCCCTCCCCCACCTCTCTCTCTCTCTTTCTCTCAAATAAGTAAATCTTTTTTAAAAATTTATAAATAAATAAATAAGAAGTCATTCCCCACAAACATCTTAGACATATGCCAAAAAAAAATACCAATGGCTGTTGTCTTCTAAAATCCCTATTACATGAAGAATTTGGCAAAAACAATAGCTATGATTTAATGATCTTTCCAACAGATACAGCATTTTACATACGCTATCCCATTTGATGTCGCCTCCAAACAACCCTGGCAGTTACTTGCAGAGGAGGGCCCAGGACCAGATGGCTGGCGCGCACTACCACAGAGGGTCTGTCGGTTGGCCGCCCACCTCCGTCCTCTTGCTCTCCCTCCCAGCAGAATCAGCTGGGTTCTTGCCTACACCCTGCCTCACCACTTGGCCCAAGAGCAATGGCGGAGGTGATGAGAAGTGTTTGCACCCTAAGAGAAAGAAGCTGGCTGAGGGGACATGGGAAAGTGTGGGGAGAACAGAGGGACTTCATTCAAATAAAAAATTACCTGCTTTTTTTTTTTAAGATTTATTTATTTATTTGTCAGAGAGAGAGAGCAAGCACAAGCAGGGGGAGCTGCAGGCAGAAGGAGAAGCAGGCTCCCCTCTGAGCAAGGAGCCTGATGTAGGACTCAATCCCAGGACCCTGGGATCATGACCCAAGCCAAAAGCAGACGCCTAACCCACTGGGCCGCCCAGGCATCCCAAACTACCTACTTTGTTATTAAGAAATATTAACTTCCTCTTTCATTATGGCCTCTCTCTGCTGTTGTGCAGGGAGACCCTGTTTTGCTGGAGGAAGAGTTGTCCTCTCAGCCAGGCTCCTTCTTTGCGATCTCCCCTAGTGATTAGTGGAGGCAAGCTAAGGGGGTGCAGGTGGCTTTCGAGGGAAGAATGGTGCCCAAGCAGCCACGAGGTTCCTTCCCCAGCTAAAAGTAAGTCATTTTTTAACCCGTTGGTATATCTCACCTCAATGATCCAGAGCCCACTGTAGCCCATCCTGGCTCCTGCATGATGACCTTCCTCCTCTCCACAGTTCGCTGCAGGCCAGGAAGACTGAGGGTCTTCATGCTGCTTTCCTGACTCCCTTAGGATGGATGTGTGTGGCTGGAAAGAAATGGAGGTTGCTCTGGTCAATTTCGATAACTCAGATGAAACCCAGGAAGAGCCAGGCTATGCCACAGACTTTGACCCAACCAACCCAAAAGGCCGGCCTGGGAGCAGCCCCTTCTCCAACTGGAAGATCCTCATCGGTGACAGCACCAACCATGAGACGGCCTTCTCCAAGCTCCCAGGAGACTATGTCGATTCCCCTGGGTCTGAACCAGTGGTCCTGAATGAAGGAAACCAGCGGGTGATCATCAACATTGCTGGGCTGAGATTTGAGACCCAGCTCAGAACCCTCAATCAGTTCCCTGAGACCCTCCTGGGAGACCGGGAGAAAAGGATGCAGTTCTTCGATTCCATGAGAAATGAGTATTTTTTTGACAGGAACCGGCCCAGTTTTGATGGAATCCTGTATTATTACCAATCAGGTGGGAAAATCCGGCGCCCTGCCAGTGTCCCCATCGATGTCTTTGCTGATGAAATCTCCTTCTATGAACTGGGGATCGAGGCCATGGACCAGTTCTGGGAGGATGAAGGCTTCATCAAAGACCCTGAAACGCTGCTCCCCACCAATGACTTCCACCGGCAGTTCTGGCTGCTCTTCGAGTACCCAGAGAGCTCCAGTGCTGCCCGGGGCGTGGCCGTGGTCTCTGTGCTGGTTGTGGTCATCTCCATCACCATCTTCTGCCTGGAAACACTACCGGAGTTCCGGGAGGAGAGGGAGCTAAAGGTGGTGAGAGACCCCAGCCTCAACACAAGTAAGTCAGTCCTCTCCCACACCATGTTCACTGACCCTTTCTTCATGGCCGAGTCCACCTGCATCATGTGGTTCACCTTCGAACTGGTGCTCCGGTTTGTGGTCTGTCCCAGCAAGACCGACTTCTTCAGGAACGTCATGAACATCATCGATATCATCTCCATCATCCCCTACTTTGCAACCCTCATCACGGAGCTGGTCCAGGAGACAGAGCCCAGCACCCAACAGAACATGTCCCTAGCCATCCTGAGGGTCATCCGGCTGGTGCGGGTCTTCCGCATCTTCAAGCTCTCCCGGCACTCCAAGGGGCTGCAGATCCTGGGCCAGACGCTGAAGGCTTCCATGCGGGAGCTGGGGCTGCTTATCTTCTTCCTCTTCATTGGGGTAATCCTCTTTTCTAGTGCCATCTACTTTGCCGAGGTGGATGAGCCAGAGTCCCATTTCTCTAGCATTCCTGATGGCTTCTGGTGGGCAGTAGTCACCATGACAACTGTGGGCTATGGTGACATGTGCCCAACCACCCCCGGGGGGAAGATTGTGGGCACTCTGTGCGCCATTGCAGGGGTCCTTACCATTGCCCTCCCTGTGCCTGTCATCGTCTCCAACTTTAACTACTTCTACCATCGGGAAACCGAGAATGAGGAGAAGCAAAACCTCCCAGGTGAAATTCACAAAATCCTTAACAGTGTTGGCTCAAAAATGGGCAGCACAGACTCTCTTAGTAAGACCAACGGTGCCTGCTCCACAGAGAGGTCCAGGAAGTGACCTGTCCAGGGCTACTTGCTCCCTGAGTCTCCCTGTCTGTGTTTCTTTGTCTCTCTCCGTTTTTCTCTATGTGTCTCTCTGTCTCTCCCCTTCTCTCTCTCTGTCTCTGTCCCCACGCCCACAGCTTCTCTCTCGCCCTCCGCTCCCTGGCTCTTGCTCTCTGTTTTTCCAGAGTGGAGTTTATCCTTTGTGAATAGCAGGCCATCTTGGACTGCAAGCTGTTTGAATAAACCCATACTTCTGCTGCTTTTTCTAAGCTGTTTTTTCTCAACCAATGATCAGATCAAGAGTTCATTCTCCTTTCCTGTGAGGAGTCCTTCTGGTCCTTGCCTGTGGTCCCCAAGATCAGCAGTACTGGCATTACCTGGGAGCAAGGAAATGCAGAATCTGAGCCCACCACAGACCTACTGAACCAGAATTCTCATTTTAACAAGATCCTAAGTGATTCATTTCCACATTAAAGATGAAGAAGCACTGGCTTTGGTCTTCCCAAGAGGAGGCATATTAAAAGGCTGGGGAATGCTGTGAGCAATGAGTAGGAGCTGCAGGTTGTTTAATAATAATATCTTACACTTGTGTCACGTTGCATAAATTTTCCAAAGCACTTTCACCAACAGTATCTCACCACATCTCAAAATAACCAGTAGAACAGATTTGGTTATTATTCTTACATTGTAGATGAACAAACCCAAGGACAGCGACTTACCCAGAAACAGTGACACAGTCGATGCTGGAACCCACACCTACCTACTGGTCTAGTGCTCTTTCTGCTTGTGGATGCTCTGGAATTAGAGGGAGAAGGATGCAAGGGCTCTGTCTTTCAGAGGATCCAGGCAGCAAACCTCTGGGCAGGAACACTCTTTCCTGGGGACTCCAGCATCTCCATGCATCCTGGGAAGACAGAGCCTGCCTGGCCCCTTGCTCCTCAGTCCTTTCCTTGGGCAGTGGGCAAGCAGAAACACTCTCAGGTGCTTTTTACCAGGCCCATCTCTGAGTTTATGCACAGGCTGGTGATCCTGAGTGTGGGAAGTGTGTGCACCACGGCCTCAGAGCACTGCCTCAGGAAAATAGACCTATCCACCTGCCTCGAGGTTCAGCTCCCACTGAGTCATGAGGAATTGACTAGTAGCCTGTACGGGCAGCTTGGCAGGGAGCAGCAGGGCCCTAAGACATGTGCCCAGATTCTAGGCCCACCCAAGGAGGGTGGTTGTGGCAGGCTCACCTGAGAAACTGCCCTCTTGGGAGTGGGTCCTGCGCAGCCCACTACACTCCCAGGATGAGGGAGTGGAGTTGGAATTCCCCAAAAGGCAGAGAAAGAAGTTTTTACTCTGTTCCCCCCAGCCCACCCCCATTCATCCCCTCAAGGAAGGAGGCCTGCGCCTTCCTCTGACCCGGTACCCAAGTCTGGCCATACCTCAAAGGTGAGTCAGTGTAAGAACTCTGGGCCTCTGGGCCGCAGGTCACTGCCCAGCTCCACTTCACACAGCCCAAACCACACAATCCACAACACCTAATCCTGGAACACACCCAGCTCCACACAACCCTGCAAGACACAGAGCTACAGCCACAGACCCCGCCACACATCTTCCACTCCATGACAGCCTAACGAATGCCCCCGTGTGAGAGAAAGCTGCTTCTCTTCCTTCTTGTTGTCCTGAGTGCATGCCCTAAGAAGCTGGACTTAGTTATCCTTAAGGTCCCTTCCTGCTCTAAAAACCCCAATCTCCTTCTTGTACTTTAGCCTCAAGCTCTCACTTAGCACAGAGTCACATAGAGCCGGGGCTTTACATAAGACATCACTGCCTTAAGACCTGGGCAAGCAGGACTCCTGTTCCAGGCCTGAGCCTCAGGGTTCTAGGCCTTGGAGTGCCTTCCTCACAATTTTCTAAGTTCCTTTCTAGTTGCTCTCCTTCAGGCCACTTTCCAATTCCCTACCCATCCCTCACACCCAAGCACATGGGGTTGACCAGATGTCCCAAGGCACTCCTAGATGCACACATGTGGGATCATGCTGAAGCCCTATGCTGGGTTCCAGTTGCAGGATGGTGGCCTGGTGAGCAGATTGCTCCCACTGGCTGGTGTGGCATTTCTTTTACAGGATCACACAAGCTTAGGTGCCAGAAAGGTGATGGCACTCTGATTTGGGGTGATACAAATTCTCATAGACACTGAGTCCTTGCAAAAATTTCTTCTCCAGGGGCACCTGGGTGGCTCAGTTGTTAAGCGTCTGCCTTCAGCTCAGGTCATGATCCCAGGGTCCTGGGATCGAGCCCCACATCGGGCTCCCTGCTCTGCAGGAAGCCTGCTTCTCCCTCTCCCACTCCCTCTGCTTGTGTTCCTGCTCTCGCTATCTCTCTCTCTGTCAAATAAATAAATAAAATCTTTAAAAAAAAAAAATTTCTTCTCCAGGATCCCAAGCATCCTTGGGGTGGTTTTGACAAGAGTCCACATGCCCACATTCTGCCTTCTGGAAGCCACATGATCACAATTTTTTACACCAAAACCTCTCCCCACAGATGGGTGAGACCATTTGCCCTTCACATCAGCCACCCGAGGTAAACATTATTCCCCCCATTTTGTCACATGTGGAAACCGGTTCAGAGAGGTTCATGGGCACACGGCCAGGAAGCAGTAGGGAGGGATTTAAATTTAGGTCTCTTTGATGCCAAAATGTCTCCTACCATGCTGCCTGTTAACCAGAACAGCTTCCTGTGAGCAGAGATATTTGGGGCTGTGGTCATACAGACGGTCTTGGCACATTTCTGGGAGCAGGGAGGCTGTTTCTCCCGAGGCCCTGCTTTCTTTTTCTCTCTGACTCTATATTCAGAGCCACGTGCTGGCCTCACACCTTCCCATGCTGCCAACGGTGGGATGAAAAACCCCAGGGCAGATTGGGCCAGTGACCCCAGAGGCCAAGATAGAGTCCCAGAGTCTGCAGCCCCAGCCTTTCTTTTCCTGGGGCCCAGCCAGAAAGGGTGTAGACTAGCAGGACAGAAGGGAGCCACTCCGTTTCTTTAGCCAGTGTGGTTACCCCTGGAGGGTTAGGAGCAATGAGATCTGCTTCTATAGAAGAGCACCCAAGGTGACTCACTGACAAAGGGAAAGAAGAGAGTCAGGGCAGACAGGACAGCACTGCCCAGGGGGTCAAGTGTGAAAGGCGCTCTCACTACCATCAAGGAGGGAAGGACTTGTCAGCAGCCAGACCCAGACAGGTCTGGGGAGGAAGAGAGCAAGGTCTGAGGCTTCCTTCAGTGAGTTCCTATTTACTGAGTGCCGACTGTGTGGCCCACATTTTATAGCCGCTGAGTAAAGACATAGAAAGAAGGGAAAGGTCTCTTTTAATGTTCACAGTAAAAATATGCAAATAATGTAAGAGAAACAAACAAACAAACAAAAAACATCTTCAGAGGGGCTACAGCTTGTGGAAGGCTTCCAAATCTTCCATTTTCTTTTCCACATCATGCCGGCTGTCTTTGCAAAGAGCAGTGCAAGTCAGGAGTCATTGTTGCATTCATTCATTCTCTTTAAAAAATGCTTTATAAACCAGAAAGGCTCTCATAAACTTCATTGTTTTGAGTGGAAAGCTCTCTAGACTTGGAATCAAAGGACCTGGCTCAATTTGTACTAATGGTAGGACTCGGGCCTCAGTGGGCCTCGATGGGGGTCTCAGTTTCCTTATGTGGAAGATGAAGATTAAAATAAAATAAAATAAAATAAAATAAAATAAAATAAAATAAAATAAATAAAATAAAAACAACCTCTGACCTCACAGCAAAGGTGGCAGGATTCTCCCCGCCCGACGGCAGGGAGCAGGCCCTGAGTCCTCCTAGCCACCCACCTTCACCCAACCTGGCCAACGGGATGCCTCAGGACCTCTGCAGGCCACCAAAGTGGCTGCTCAGGACCTGCCCTCTGTTAGAGACGGCCCCTGTGACTCCCTGCTTCTTTGCCTGTCATACGCGTACTCACCCTCTTTGAGCTTACTTCCAAATCTGAAAAATAGGCAGAATGGCACCCACTTCCCCAGGCTGTGGGGAGGAAGCGGGGATGGGGTGTGACTATAGGTGATTATGGGGGAAAGCATCACACTAGTAAAGGAATGATTGCTCTTTAAAAGCTGTCATTTTCGGGGCGCCTGGGTAGTTCAATGGGTTAAGCGTCTGCCTTTGGCTCAGGTCATGATCCCAGGGTCCTGGGATCGAGCCCTGCATCGGGCTCCCTGCTCGGCAGGGAACTTGCTTCTCCCTCTCCCTCTGCCTGCCACTCTGCCTACTTGTGTTCTCTATCTCTCTGTCAAATAAATAAATAAAATCTTTAAAAAAATAATAAATAAAAGCTGTCATTTTGGACCAATCAATTAACACTGCCTGGAATAAGGACAGAACTCACCTTGGCAATCTGCATCAGATTGTGACCCTAAGCGGAAGGCCACAGATTTCAAAGACAGTATAAAAATAGAATTAACTGATGTGGGAAAGGAAAAGGGGTATGAACCGGATAAGATCATGTTCAATAACCAACTACCTGTTCAGGCGGCTTTGCACTCATGTCATTTCATCTGAAACAGCCACTATGAGGTCGGTATCATTTCATAGGTATCAGTGCAAGGAGCACAAAATCAGGGTGACCAGACATGGATGGCACTCCAGTTGTCCCATCCCTCACTTTCTCGACCAAAGACCCAATTCGCTTCACCCCCATGCAAACCAGAGGCGGTAACTCCATCACCCGGGCCGGCAGCATTCCCTGCAGCTCTGGGACATCAGAGAGGCTGAGGCTGGAGCCACCACTCGCTGCACTGGTCTCACCTGGGCCGTGCCACCCAAGCAGAGGCCACACAGAGGAGCTCAGCCACTCTCTAAGGAGGACCCCTGGGACAGACCCTGGGCGTGAACCTGCCCGTGCAATGCGGCCCAGAGCGGCGGCCACCCCAGACGCTGCTCACCCATGAGGCTCCCTGCCCGCTCTCTCAGCCCTGGTGGCCCTGCCCAGCCCCCACT